TACCAATTCTGAGTTTAATTTATTTACTGATATATTAAATATTGATAATCATTTTGTCGACACTTATATCAATTAATCATTGTTTGATTTTCAATATATATTATTTTCAAATTATTTAAATTTATTTAAAATAATTTATCTTTTGTAATTAATATAAATTCATTGAAATCATAATAAAATCACATGTTGCTAGCCAAATGATTGAAATTATTTTTTCTACTTGCGATATAAATAAAAATTTATATTGATAATTTCGTATACAAAAATTAAAAACAGAAATAGAAATGCTTTTTATTGTGAAAAAAATGATAAAGAAGGAAATGATTGTAAATGTAAAAGAACGACAAATATGTTATATAGAAATAAATAATATTATTTGCTCTCGGGATATTTTCAAATATAATCACGCTCCAAAACTATTGCTATCTCATATAATAAAATCTTGCAATAAAATAAAATAATTAGTAAGATATACTAATGACACATAATGATACATAAGTATTAAAAATGTGACAATTGAAACAAAGAAATATATCCGTTTATATCTACATAGTAATACTTTAAAGCAATAAGTGTTATATAAATAAAAAAAAATAAAGATAAAAAATCAATAAACATAACGAACTTAATATGTTTAACCAGGCTTTTTTATATTGTATATAATCGTTCATTGCATAATTATAAGTTATTTATTTATTGTATTATTTGTTTGCTTCACTGTTTGTTTATATTACCAATGATTTGCCTTTTCATTTATCACAAACACTTAATGTACAAATTAAAATTGTTGATTTGAATTGAATGAAATTATTTTCGAGATGCAATTCTATTTATAATTTTTAAAATATATAAATAATAAAATATTCAATTATAATTTTCAATAAATTATTTTAAAATAGTTTAATTCTAGAAATTTCTAATTCAAGCATCATTAAGTATTAATTAATTAATGTTTTATAATAATAATTAAAAATTGAAAAAAAATTTCTAACATTAACCAGTGAAACAATATATATACATCTTTCATATTTCATAAAATATCAAGAAAAAATCAAAATATCAAGAAAGAAAATATCAGAAAATGATAAAAGATAAAGAATAATGAACTATTATGAAAGAAAAAAAATTGCTATGAAAAAAAGCAAAATATTTATTATTCAGATTGTAAGAATAAACCAACATTTGTAAAATTTTATAAATGAACTTGATATTTCAATTATTATTTGTTTTGATTGAAGAATTTTCTGTATAATTAAAATAAATATGAAAAAATAATACAATTTTTTTCTCATAATTTAGATCTAGTTTTCCAAATTAAATTATGCTTTTAAAAATATTTTTTTACTTTAGAAATATATGAACCACTAAATATTTCATGTCGTTAGATGGTAAAAACTATATATGGAATATCAGTTTGATGGATTGACGATATTAATTTGACCGATTAAATTGATAAAAATCTTGAGTAAAAAAATATTGAAATAATAATTATAAAAAAAACATCGAAAAATATAATATTTTTTACGATTGATAATTTTGAAAATTTAACAAGAATAAAAATATGCCTTGAATGGTATATTTTAAAATAGTTATAAGCAAAATAAAATATTCGTAAGCAAAATAGTATTATTCTTTTATTGTATTCTTTTATTGTCCTTAAAAAAATAAAGTATTTATAAATTATTGTTTGAAAACATTATTCATTTAATTTCTGAACTAGACACATTAAAACTACAATTTATTTTTAGAAATTTTAAAAATACAATTAAATCTATTTTTCCATCCATCTTTTCACAAAAATAAAAACATGTTTCTTTCACTTATATTAAAATATATCACAAAATTTAAATGAATTAATAAAAAAATATAGAATGAACAAAACATTATTTAGTATATTGGTGATAAATTCTATGTCTTGCGTTTTTTGCAAAAATTTTATTAATTATTAACAGCATTAAAATTTACTTTGAAGCTGAAAAAATTATTAAATGATAATAAATAGATAAATATCGTATAAATAATATAATATAAAGCTGTATTAAATAAAAATATAGTAGGAAAATAGAGATGCGATCAGTATTTTTTTCATAAAAAATATGTTCAGATAATATACACACTTTTTTACAAATATAAAATTCTGTTGACATCGACATTATTAAATTGCTTATTAAATTAAAATATTTCATCGAATTAATAATCTCTGAGTGATTTTCACAATAATCTCTAATACATAGAGTATATTCATTTTATTTGCAACACATGAATATTTAAAAAACAAATTATACAAAATATTATGTCTATATTTATTTTATTTAGAAATAATCTTGAAAAGTTCTGTAAAGATTACAATTATATTTTTAAATGGGAATTATTTTTTTATTTCATATTCTTATAGTTAATATTAAGATATTTTCAAAGTATTAATTTATTTACCAGTATTTATGCTCATGAGATTTCTAAAGAGTTTATTCGGAAAAATTCCTCATAGAAATTCTTTTCTGTTATTATCGGAAACCTCTACTAAGCCTAAACAAAGAATAATGTTATCTGAAAAGACTATCGTTTTTGAGAGTTTAGTTGACTCTTGTAATTATATATTTTGACATAACCCAATCTGGCTGGATCGATCCTAGAAATGATGTATTCCAGACATGATTAATGCTGCGACAATTAACATCATTCTAGTTCGAGAAAATTTATAAGAAAGATACGCTGTTGCCGTTCCTGCTTATCTTGAGATCTTTGTATACAGATTACCACACCAAGCAAGAAATTTTTCTTTAACTTGAGGATATTACAAGCTGGACACTGACCGCGATATTATTGATTATGGCGTGTTCCATCGGGAAATTGTGTTCCTTCCAATTTAACAGAATGGATTTTCTGATGGAATAAGTTTCACTTGTAAATAGAGGTTCAAATAGAGGATGAATATGTCGTAGTCTGCTGGATACGAACAATTGAATACTTTGTAAACATATCGTGATCTAACCATCAAATACGATTACCTATCCTTACTTGTAAAGAAAGTCTCATTATGAGCATATCATAGTTTGACTGCATAGTCTGATATAACAATTACATTAATTTTGTTCTAACACCGTCGGTTTTATTCTGACATTGTGAGAGATCTGCTCTTTTATAGACGTATATATAACCATTTATACAATCCACTCATTTTTAATATACTACTTATTACATCTATCGAAGGACATTCTACAAACACTTAGCTATATTAGTTTACATCCACCATCATCATTATAATACTACTGTTGCAAACATAATAATTTATATTTTTTATATAAATTATCATCGAAATATTAAATTTCAAAGTTGATATACTGTTAACTAGTATTATACATTATACGAGAAGATTACTTGATTGAATTTTATTATTATAATAGTTTCAATTAAAAGAGCCAATTTTATGATAAATTTTGGCGTATAAGTACTAAGTATGTATATATATAAACATTTGTACAATCTTTCCATGATGTACATTCTAACGCTAATGCAGTTTATTAAGTTTAAGATTAATATCATAATAATGCAAAAAATACGAATAAATAGTGATTTAAAAATGTTTCGATGTTTGTTATAAAAAAAAATAAACAATAAAAAAATATAATTCCAAAAATATACATAATTTAAAAAAAACTTGTCTAAAAAATATTCTATACTGGAAGCTATAAATCCAGATTTTAGAATTATCTTATAAATAAGTTGTTTTTTAATTTATAATTACTATCTTCTTAATAACTAATAATTAATATATTTAATAATTAATATATTTTTTCACTTTTATTTCGATATTATTTGATTTATTTGATATTTTATCTTTATATATTTCTTCCCTGATAATTTCCTAAAATCTTGTGGAGATATTTAATTGATTTCTTTTGAGAGATTATTATATCGTTTAACTTTATCGGAGGACATGTGTTTTTACGTAGTAAAAGTTTTACAGCAATTTATTTTCATTTATGCTAGTTAGCTTGCGCCTATATTTTATTTTTTGAAATAAAGCTACTTATGTTATCTACGATATCTATGATATTCCTATAAATTTTTGATTTCGAAAAGATCATCTGTAAATCTGATAATGATTATTTTTGTAGAAATTGATATATCCGTAGTATAGTGTACATAGTATACAGAATGAATGTTTTGCGGATGTTTTTAAAGTTGATTGAATAAACTAAAGTAAAAAACTTGAAATTGAATTTTGAATTTTTTATTGGTTAAATAATTGATAAGATAATATAAAAAGAATGTGGAAATATTTTAACAATATATACAAGCTACCAGTGTGCCAGAATTTATCGAAACTATCATGAATTTTTTCGATTGTATATAGTTTGATAGCTAAACATAACTGATTGTAAATAATCTTGAGTTTCAAGTTTAATCGTTTAAATATTTAAAGAGAAAGATTTAAATACTTAAACAAAATGCTATTTAAAGACTTTAGGATTAGTACATGAAGATTCAGCATCCGTGTGAATTCCAAATAACTGAAATCTTCTCTATAATTAATTTAATTGTCTTTTAAAGTAACTTCTGTTAATGTTATAATGTTTAAATACTTGTTGAAAGATTTTTATATCCTAAGAGTAAACGGTTAAGTTTCTTTAGTTTATTCAATTCTTTCTTGTCATCAGAAAGTTTTACTATGCTATTCTTAACTTTTTCTTTTTTATAATATATTTCATGATAAATGAGTTTTAAATAAAGTAAATTATTATAAAAATTTCTCTACTTGATTATTTTAATAATCATTATGTGTTATTGCATAATATGTGTTATTTTGTGTATTTTATTATATTTCATGTTTAGTAGAAGATAATATATTTGTAATTGAGGTATTTAAGTATTTACGAAAGAATGTTCACTTTGTATATGTTTTATTATATGTATATATATTTTATTGTTGATAACCTATTATGATCGTGTTACAACTATAATTGCATTTAAAACCAATAGTGAATAGAATTGAATAGATGAGAGATCAGTACAGAAGTAAGCTTGAATGTAAGACGAGATACTTTTGATGATGAAAAAGTTTAATAAGATAAGATTTCATTTAAATTGGTCAACCAATTAATGATGTTTATATACTAAAATTTATTTATTATTATTAATAGTGAATAGAATTGAATAGTCATTAGTCATTAATCATTCGATCTTGTTCTCCGAGGGCTTACACTTCGATTACTTACTCGTCTAGGAGGGATCTAATTCGACTACCAATGCTCTAAACTTCGACTACTCTGTTCTCCGAGCTTACGCTTCGACTACTTACTCGTCTAGAAGGGATCTAATTCGACTACACTTATCGCGAATCTTGGTTCTCCTTTTATCCTTGCATTGCGTGCAAATGCACACAAAGAAGGACGAGAGGAACCAATCATCGCGTCGAAGGGCGGTTTCAAGGGATGGGCCTTCGCGGGGTTGCGCCGTAATCCATTTGCTTTCACTTTTATGGTGGTTCATCATAAAGCGCGCAAATGCGGCTCGTAAAATGGTCGTTGCTATAGTTTCTGTTCAAATTAACATCTGGAAACCATCACGAAACCCATACCTGCTCAAAAATATATAAATAAATAAATATATAAATAATATAAATAAATTACTATAAATATATTTGGCAGGAATTCGAATTGTTAATAGCAGAACATGATCTGACGAGCCCGGGTCTTAACAATAGGTAATTATGCTTGTAAATTGAATATGATTTATTTTGATTTTATATTATTAATGATTATGATTATATTATTTATATCATTATATCATTATATGTCATATAATTTGATCTTTAAATAACTTTTTTCAGTGAAATAAATTTCAAAGATTAGTACAATTAAAATTTTTTGAAATTTTTTGAAATTTTTTTTGAAATTCATGAAAAACTTTTAGTTTACGCTTATATTGTATGAGCAATACATTACATTCTATAATGTAATACGTATATTTCAGATTTATGAATTTATCATCAATTTTGTTACAATTGTTATCAATAAAGTTGATACTACATAATTCAGAATTTTTTTGTTCTTCGAATTTATATTTTTTTGAAACGATTCCTTTTGCAATATTGAAGAAATTTTCGTGTGATTATTATTATTTTTTTTTAAATTTAAATCTAATATTTGCGAAGAACTTATCGCCATTATGAATTTCGTATAATCGATTATAAAATATATTATAAAATTGATATATTAATTAATACAAATTGTTATACTTTGAGTAATATAAATTATATGAAAAGTAATAATTAATAATAATAATTCGTTTGCAAATGAGTTTATACACACTATACACACACTACATATTATTACATACACTATTGTTATTACAAACTTATCTGTATTTATGTATTTTTTATACATTTCTCTTCTCTAATTTTTAATATTTTTATTTGATTTGACTTTTATTTGTTATAATTATGATATATCTAAAGATTAATATTAATCTAAAGATATTATAGATAAATTTTTTTAGAAAAATATAAATTGCATTCTATCTTCTATTTATTATATACTTATAATAAAATTCATAATTCCAGTAAAAGTAATGCTGTCAAATTTACATACGTGTATAAAATATATCTACATTATATATTATAGATGTAATAAGCCAATAAAATTTTTATATTTATTTATTTTATCATTTTTAAAATATCTCTCTTAAATAAAATATAAAGTGGAAAAAATAAATTTGATTTTTTAAATTCTTAGAATTTTAAATTATTCTATTCTATATGCTTGTATTATTAAGCATTTTGCAAAATTTACAAACATGCATTCTAATTAATGATATTTTTTTATGTTTGCAAACATGCATTTGAATTGTTTTATAATATCGATTGTAAATATCGATATATTCTCACATGTCATCGCATCTCAAACAACTGTTTTTATTTCGAAATAAAACAAAATGGATCATTTAAAATAACATCAAAATTTCAACTAAAATTTTTATTTAAATTCTTTCAGAAATGTAAATTATCAAGTACATATACATATATAAATAATGCCACCAAAACCAAAAAAAAAGATATAGAAACTGAAACCAAGCCAGATAAACAAATAGGAGGTTTTTCATGCATTTATAAAAGTAAATAAATAGATGTTAATATATTATTTTTAATAGACATTTATTAATTAATAAATATTTTTGAAACATTAATTTTAAAGAGAGAGAAAGATAAATAAATATGAAGGAAGAACGAATATATATGTTATTAAACTTGATTAAATAGATTTTAAAGATTTTATATTTTAGGTCCGGGTCCCAAATATAAACTCAAAACACTTGTCGGTTACAAAGAGCATTGTCTTTCCAGACATAGAAATCCAGCATATACATTTGGTATAAGACATCATATTTTTGAAGAATGTTTATCACCAGGACCAAAATATGTATTAGACAGACCTAAACGTAATGGTTTTTCATTTGGATTAGTTAGAAAAACTTTTGGTAAATTTTAATTTATTTTCTAAATTATTCTAAAAACAATTATTTCTAATAACAATTATTTCTAATATTTCTAAAAACAATTTAATTTTATTTAATTTTATTCAATATTATGTATTTATTATTTAAATTATTTAAAAAATTTATTATAATTTTTTTTATTAAAAAGACTACTATAAAATTATTTATTTATGTAATAAGATTTGATATTTGAATTCATTTATTATGTCTTTAATTGTATCTAATATTAGTATGTTTTTATTACTTTTATGTTTAAAGAAAAATGATGATTTTCGCTAATTTTTAAGAATCAATAGTTTTTTATTCTCAATTTTAATTTTGAAAATCATATCTAATTTTTTATGCAGTTCATTTTTATAAATACTATTTGTAGTATAATATAATATTTGTTATAATTATATTTATTTCTTAGGACATAATTTATATTCATATATATTTTTTATGAATTTATTAGCATAAATAAAATACGTAATTACATAAAATATCAAAAAAAAAAAATATCAAATTATTTGATTCTGCAAATAAATTCTTGGATACAAGAAATTTCAGTGACAATCATCAATTTCTATCTTTAAAAAAAATATATAATCCTTAGCTAACATTGTTATACAATATTTATTGTATTATATTTTAATATGTTTATTATTATATATACATATGTTATATTATTATTTAGATATTAATTTTGTTAGTTTTGAAAATACAACAATGAAATTTTCAAGACTCTAAAAAAGTATCAAAAAATTTTAATTTAGAAATTTATTCATTTCAATTTATTCAATTATTTTATTTTATTCAAAAAAACATTCTTGCATCTAACAATACAATTATAATTACAATTAAATTTTTTTTAATTTTATTTGTTTTAAAGATATTTTAATTAATTTCTATCTATATTAAACTATATATAATGAATCTAGAATTATATATATATATATTATTATATAATGATTCAAAATTAATTATATATATTATAAGAATAATATAAATATATAAGAATAATAATAATATAAATAATAATGAAACTTTAAGGATTGATTTAACGCGTACAAAAACATTTTCTATCCATAATATTACATATATATATATATATATTATTATTTATAATATTAATTATTTATAATATTATTATTATTTATAATATTATTTTTACAATAAAGAATTAAAACTTAAATATTTTGTAATTTGATTTAAAATTTTGTTCTATCGCGCACAAAACTATACTTATAAAAGCAAAAATTGATTAACTTAATATAGAAATTATTGATTAACTATATATTATAAAAGAAAAATTAAAAATTAAAAATTTTTAATTAATATAATACAGTTTCTTGATACTAGATTAAAATAAATTTTATTTAAATTATATTAGAGTATCATTTTAACATTTGATTCATTTTTATTTAAATTAAATAATATTAATTCAAGAAAGAACAAATGGATTTTTATTTTAGATTATTTTTTACTGAATTGATATTTGAATTGAATTACTCTAAAGGCAACCATCATATTATAAGATAACTGATTATGCCAGATCTAAATGTTAAATATTGAATAAATATTATTAAAATTATGTTATTATTATGATAATGAAAAATATGCTATTATGATAATAAGTATAATAATATTCCTCTCACACTTCTAATAATTATTTTTATTATATAAAATTATAAGTCTTATAACTATTATTATAAAAATGACAAATTATATTAAGATTTTTTCTATTTTATTAGTACCTTTTTGTGGCCCTGGTCCAAAATATTTATTGCCAACTCCAAAAGGGCCATCTTTTACAATAAAATCAAGAACGAAAACTAGACAAACTTGTGTTACACCAGGTCCTATTTCTGTAAGCCTTCCTCGAGCAGGTCCTGCTTTTTATATGTAAGTATTTTTCCTATATATTTATGTATATCTTCTTTGAGTATTTATATATATTAAGTATATTATTCCATTAGTTAAGAATTAATATACGAAATGAATTTTACTAATAAAATTAATTAACGGTATAATAAATATTTTTACGAATTTGGTATAGTTATTTTTATGAATTTTTGTACAGTTGTTTATTAAGCTTTATTTAACCATGTTAGAATTTAATACCGTTAACATTTTCAATGAACAATTGTGTGAAATTTTATATATACTATTAACTGTATTCATATATAAGATCTTAATATTTTTAAATCAAAGTAATTTGTACATATTTGTTTTAGAGGACAACGTTTGCCCGTTCTAAAACGTGATTGTGTACCAGGTCCCAAAATTTATAATGATATATTGGTTAAACAAAGAGCTCCAATGTACAGTTTATCTTATAGGCATCCTATGAAAGAAATTTGTCGCTCTCCCGGTCCAAAATATAATCTTAAATTTGGAAAAACACCTCCCATATATTCTTTTGGAATCAAACATAATGAATGCGCTCTTCCTTATTTTATTGAATGTGATGATCAATGTTAAAAACTTGAAAATTATAAATAAAAATATAAATATACAAATAATTTAGAAATGTATTATTCTTATATATAAAATTAATTTTTTTTGTTTCATGCAAGATTATTTGTTTCAATGAATTTAATCAGACGAAATAAATAAAACACATTCATGTATCATTCACATGATAAATATGATAATTAAATATAATTTAATTATCATGCTTAAAGACGATTTTATTGGAATGAAAGAATACAGGATTAAAAAATTTCTCTAATAAGAAGGAATAATTATCTCATGTTATCTCATGATATATACATGTTTAGTGATAACATAAAATTGCAGAAAAACTATTTTCTCTAGATTTTTATGATTTTTAAATATATTATAAAGAATTAGATTTTGATATTTTCCTAATAAAAAACTATAAACAATTTTTATGAATTCTATACATATAAGAAAAATTATTTCTATAAAAAATTTTTTTCTATAAGAAAAATTATTTTATTTAAAAACTATCTTATTTTCTTTTATTATTTTTGCTATAATTTTTCGTATTTTTGCTATAATTTTTAAAATATCTTTATATAGTTCTCAAAAAAAAAGAATTATTAGTATGTAAGAATATGTGCATAAGTATGCATATGCCACTTATCTTACAATTAAATTAATATAAACACATTGTGAAAAACAATTAATATATATAAGAAGCTAAATCAATCAATTATAAATTGTGATAAGTTTAATATTTTATAATCCGAATCTACATCAAGCTTGAAAATTCCATAAAAATCATTATATTAATGTTAGCATTTATTCATAAAAATTTAAGTTCTTCGTACATAAAATTATATATTATAGTATAAGAAAAATTATTTTATTTAAAAACTATCTTATTTTCTTTTATTATTTTTGCTATAATTTTTCGTATTTTTGCTATAATTTTTAAAATATCTTTATATAGTTCTCAAAAAAAAAGAATTATTAGTATGTAAGAATATGTGCATAAGTATGCATATGCCACTTATCTTACAATTAAATTAATATAAACACATTGTGAAAAACAATTAATATATATAAGAAGCTAAATCAATCAATTATAAATTGTGATAAGTTTAATATTTTATAATCCGAATCTACATCAAGCTTGAAAATTCCATAAAAATCATTATATTAATGTTAGCATTTATTCATAAAAATTTAAGTTCTTCGTACATAAAATTATATATTATAGTGGAAGTAGTTTGGACTTTGATATATGTTATGAAGAACATAATTTTGAAAAATTTATAGTTTTAAGACAAAATATAATATAATATTATATAATATAAATTATATAATAAAGACTTTCAATATAATATTATGCATTTATACAATACTATCATATAGTTTTTGTAAGTTTAAGAAAGCATAATTTTCTCAACCTGTGATTAAATTATCAGTTACAGAATAAATATAATAAAAGAAAAAAATTTATGTTCAAATTGTCTATCACATATTAGAAAAAAATTTTTAAAAAATTAAATTAAATTAAAAAAATATATTATAGATATTCAAGAAAAAACTATTTATATTATAATATAAACTTGATAAATTAATTTTTGCTTTTATTTTGGAACTGTTTAAAATCAATAAAGAATTATAAATGTCACTAAGATCTCTTATAGTTTCATAATTTTCATTCATGATTTTGAGAAATTTTAAAAAATAAAGTTCGAATTGCTTATGCATAATTTATTGTAGATATTCAATATATTTTATAATGTATATTTATAATGTACATAAAGTATATAAATATATATAATGTATTTATAATGTATATAATGTATATAAATAATGTATAGAAAAAATATTAATAATTTATTAATAACTTTTTAAATTATAGTTTAAATAAAAAAATTATGTCTTAGAAAAATTAAACTTTTAAAGAGTTACAATCATTTGTAATGGATATAATTGAAATCATATAAAAAAGTATAAATCCCTTTTTCTTAAAAATAAAAAGAATTGAATGCTACACATTATACTACTTTTTAAGAAAATAAGAGATGAAAAAAATAATGTTATCTCTTTATCTGTTGCATGTTACTTGAACTGCATGCTTGTTATTCTCTTTCCTATTCAATAACAGAGAAACAAAATATTATCAATTCTGTGTATTCTTCATAAAAGTCATTACTAATCATAATAATTGGCAATATATTGTATATTCGTTTCATGTTCTTTTTGTATTTTATAAGATTTTAATTTTAATTAAAATTATAAAAAGATTAATATGTACTTTTGCGAACTATGTGAAATAATTCGTAAAAATAATTTTAACAAAATTTCATGAAAACTTTCAAATTTCAAATTTATTGTGTGCCAAAACTATTCATTAAAAAGAATATTTATTAAAAAGCCTAACTACTACAAATAATACTTTAAATAAGAAGATAAACATATATCTTTATAGAAAATATTTATAGAAGATATTAAATATATATAAAAATATATTATAGAAAATAGTATATTCCTTTATACGTTTATTAATACGCGTAAACTAATAAACTATTTTTCTAAATATAACCAATTAATAAATAACCACCATTACTATTATGTATATCCATTATGATTATAAGATTCATAGAGACTCTAACACACTTTATCACGAACGATTCTATCAACAAATAAAGAAAAAATTATAACCGATTTCAATTTTTATCATCAATATGAATGCTATTGAAAATAGATTTTTAGATATCACAATTCACTGATCACGTACTATAATTATTCTGAATACTAATTCTTAATAATAGAAATTATATCGCAGTTTCTGGTAAACCACAAAGATAAAAAATATTTACAAATACTATAAAATTTATATCTTAATTATTTGTATCTTAATTTATACTATATTTTGATAAACTCGCAGAAATAGATAAATGTATATATGTATATGTATATGGATATGCACAGTTTTAGAATTTCTTGTTTCCATAGTACACAATACAAACATCAGACTAAAAGATTTATTACAAACTATAAAAATTAAAATAGATAATGATTATTCATCAAATTCACAATTTATAATTTATTATTTACAATTTCATACAACGATGTTATCAAATTTTAAAATATTAAGAATGAATGGAAAAAAGGAATGTTTTCTTAAAGAAATTATTATCGAAAAGGAAGTATATATAACTCAATATCAAAAACATAATTGATATTGTAAAATAATATTCAATATTTTGATTTGATAAATTAATTCAATATTATTAACTTATATACTAGAATTTAAAAAAAAAGGATAATTTAGATGATTTTTATAAAACGATTTTACAATGATTTTTTTTCTTAAGAATTTTTTAGAGAGAATAAAAAATAAGAATATTGTGTTTTTGAATGAATATGAGCTAATTAAACATATCTCCAAAATCATGAATAACTCAAAGATTAGATATTATTTATCACATCACACAATTAAAATTCGATAGTTTTTCACTACGAAAATTAAAATAGTAATTAATATGAAATTATAAAAAATATTATTAATTTTCGAAACTCTGGCGACTTATTTAAATAAAATAGTAACAATCTTCAATTCCAAATCAACATTATCTTCCTAATTATTATCCTAATTATCCTAATTATTATCCGATTCAAATAATTTAAATGTTATATATATATATAATATAATATAAAAAAAATCAATAAAATAATATTTAATATATATATACAATGAAATGATTATTAAAGTATTAATAAAAGTCAAAAATCAAATAAAATAATAAATGCTATTATAATTATCAAATAAATTTATTTGATGCAGACAAATAATTTTTGTCAAATAGTATTATCAAGGAAATAAATCGGCAATATATATCGTAGACTGGAAAAATTGATTTTTAAAAAGATTATTATTAAAATTATTTTTTTAACATTATTATTAACATTATTCTTGTAATTTCTTAAATAAATAATTATTTCTGGAGATTTTTTGACATAATTTTTTAAATAAAATAACAAAATAACGAATAAAATTTTTTTAAATATTCACGAAAGTGATAAAAAAATGTTTATTTTAATTTTCTTCGAAAATCATATATATATAATATTAATATTCGATTCAATTATTAAATATTTAAAAATAAAAAGCGGAATATATTTTGAGATGCTTTTTTAAGAGATTAACTATATTTATTATAATAATTACACATATTACATATATATATATATATATATATATTACACTATATTTATTATAATAATGATCACATTTCTCTAATTTGAATTGAATGTATATATATTTAATTTAAAGAAAAAAGAAAAATCAAACATTTAACAATACATTTTGTCGATACATTTGATAATTTTTTAAAAAAATCATTTATTAAGAATAATTTAAATACAGTAAAATTGCAATAAATTATTATAAAAATTTATTAGAATTTATTAGAAAAATTTTATTGAAAATATAAAAATTAAATAATTTAACAAATATAATAATATAAAAGATATAGTACAAAAATGAATTTATTATTCATTTTCAATTATTTTTATTTCATTTTATAAATAAATCCTAAATCATACCAAAAATATATCACTATCAGTATCCATTAATGTTTATTAATATCTAAATATAATATATAAAAATTTATATATATATAATTATTTTAGTTCATTACTAAGAATTAAGTTTCATTATACATATAAATATACATATAAGTACATGTATGGAAAATATCATCCTAGTTCTCAAGATCACATTACTTTCTAATCAGTTTGAAATATTCAAAAAATTATAAAATTTTAAGTATCTGTTAAATATTTTCCTCAAAAACAATATTAATATCATTATTCTTAACAACAACTCATTTCTTATTATTATATATTCCATCTTAATAAGAAATGAGAATTTTGCACATTGCATCAAAAAAATAAGATTATTTTCGAAAAATATTCCTAACTTTTTTATATTGAAATAAAAAGAGGAAATAAAGGAAAAAGACATAATTTAAATTCTTCAAAAATACACTTTAAAGGATTTAAAAAT